TGCTGATGCTGATGGTGCTCGTGATTGTGATGGTGATGCTAACACTTATGCTAACGATGATAATGATGATGGTAGTGATGATGCTGTTGATGATTACGATGGCGGTGGTGGTGTTGGTGATAGTGATGATGATAGTTATGATGATGCTGATGATGATGCTGATGCCGATCGTGAGGGTGAGGGTCAGGGTAATGGTGATGGTGAAGTTGATGTTGACGATGATGGCTATGGTGATAGTGGTGGTGGTGATGGTGATGACGATGACGATGACAATGATGGTGACGATGACGGTGATGGCGTTGATGTTGGGGAGGAGGAGGAGGAGGAGGAGGAGGAGGAGGAGGAGGAGGTGGAGGTGGAGGAGGAGGAGGAGGAGGAGAGGGAGGAGGAGTGGGAGGGGGAGGAGCAGGAAGTGGTTCGCGGCTCAAACTCCACGCAACATGTTTTTTCCTGAATGGGTACATTTGGGTACATTGTGGTGTGCAGTCTCACACATGCATCGAAGCAATGCTGCAAAGTACGTAGGCGTCATGTACTTCGTCGGTAGGCCGTTCGGCTCGGCCGAGTCATGGGATTGATGGGACGAGGCGCCCGCCGCAAAACTTGCGTATTGGCGCTCTCACCGCCTGCCTTGCTTGTGTCACACAGGTCGCGATGACACTCCACCGCCGAGGGTAAACTATCCCTCCTCCAAGGACGGGGCTCTTCCTGATCAACGCGATCGCGCCAGCGGGACGATCGATCTGCGATCCGCAGCCCCTTTTTCGGCAGCCGTGGGCCCAGGTTCGTCACCCACCCGATCGAGGAGACCGCGTTCTACCCCATCCAGCGGCTGGGCATCGCCTTCCAGACCGCCGTGGTGGGACTCAGCTCGCTGGCCGCCGGCATCTTCGGCTTCACCGCGCTGGGCCTGCTGCTGCTAGGCGGGGAGCCTCTCGGCGGCCTTCGTGCTCGCACGTGCTGGCTTTGTTCTCCTGGGTTGTACAGGCTGCAATTCCTGGGAGACCAAGTTCAGCATCAGCTATGATAGATCCATGGTCGCAAACCGTTCAAACCTTGTCAACTCAGTTTTGGGCCTAGTCCAGTTAACATCCGATTAATGGTTCCTCCGTCGCGCGTACGTTGGAGTCCTTAGCCGTTCCCACGAAGACGTCCCAGGAGTTGTTGCCTCGAACGTTAGAAGCGTGTCTTCTGCGTTGCGCATGTCGTGGGGTGCTGTGGAGATGCCTCGCTGCCATCCATGATCGCTCGGCCAGAGAAGAGTATAGGTGTTGCCTCTTTGTTTAGTATGGTTGCTCCTCTCGACTGCGTACGATCCGCCCCTTCTTCGGCGTTACACGAAGGAAGACAATGCTGAAGGTGGTTGACCCCGAAGGGTCTTCAAGAGCCCCCCTCCCAAGAGTGTAAACTGATGATCTGCTCGACGCCCTGATTGACGGAATGGGGCCCCACCAATAGTGGAACATCGTAATTATTGACGCTTCGCGAATCCCCACCAGTCCATCCAGAAACGATGCCCAGAGGAATTGCCTCGATCAGGGAAGTGGGCAGCACACAGGGCAAGCCAGTATGAGACATCTTGGGATTTTTGGAGCCATGTTGGAGGTCATCTTGGGCTCTCCCAGGCGCTCTTGGAATCGTCTTAATCAGTGCCTCCCCCAAGAGGCCAACATGTGGCGAAAACGTTGGTAAAATCAGTGATTTGGCATTCTCGCCGAGGCCTCTTGGAGCATCTTGGGTGCCTCTGGGGGTCGCTTGGGGCCTCTTGGGGGCATCCTGGGAGCCTCTTAGGGGCATCCTGGGGGCCTCTTGGGGCTTTCTGGCCACCTCTTGGGGCCCTCTTGGGGCACCCTGGGGGGGGCATCTTTGGGCCATCTCGGGTGAGATCGATTCCAGGAGGGGAGGTTACTAATTACAGCAACCCCTCCCCGAAGGGGAAGAAGGAGGGGTGGAAGAGGAAACGCTCTAAACCACCGACGCCCAGAGGGCTGGTGGGATTTCTCCGCGTCAGCCGCCGCACAACAACGACGACAACCACGCGATGAAGGAGGATAATATGAGCAACGCCGTCGGCGAAGAATGTGTCGATGTATATAGCAATCCTTTTGTAAACGTGCTCAAAAAAACTTCTTTGTCGTGCAGGGTCGCTCAGGGAGCATTAGCCACTGGGGGAATAAGCCTTCAACGTTATCACGCCCGCCCAGCAGTAAAGGGAAAAGAGTCTCTGCCGCGACGACGACGACGATGACGACTACGATTCCGACTACGACCACGAGTAGTAGTGGTAGTGGTAGTCGTGGTGGTAGTGGTAGTGGTAGTGGTAGAGGTAGTGGTAGTGGTAGTGGTAGTGGTAGTGGTAGTAGTAGTAGTAGTAGTAGTAGTAGTCGTCGTAGTAGTAGTCGTAGTAGTAGTCGTAGTAGTCGTAGTAGTAGTAGTAGTAGTAGTAGTAGTAGTAGTAGTAGTAGTAGTAGTAGTAGTGGTAGTGGTAGTGGTAAGTAGTAGTAGTAGTAGTAGTAGTAAGTAGTAGTAGTGTAGTAGTAGTAGTAGTAGTAGTAGTAGTAGTAGTAGTAGTAGTAGTAGTAGTAGTAGTAGTAGTAGTAGTAGTAGTGGTAGTGGTAGGTGTAGTAGTAGTAGTAGTAGTAGTAGTAGTAGTAGTAGTAGTAGTAGTAGTAGTAGTAGTAGCAGTAGTCGTAGTAGTAGTAGTAGTAGTAGTAGTAGTAGCTGTAGCTGTAGGGGGACACGCCCGACATAAACATATCCGCATCCGCGCCCTCGCGGTCTGGATTCCAGGGCGCGGTCCCGCGGACATGCGGTTTCACGGATGCGGGCCGCGCGGGGCAGTTGCGAGGAAAAAGGGTTCGTGTCTGCGGAGGCGCGGTCCGGGGCGTTTGTCCGCGAGGCTTCGGACACGGAGATGCCGTTCGGCCTCGAGGCATGGCGATCCCAGCCCCCGATTGTGAGGGGGCGTTCGACTGGACCGCAAAGTCGGGGCTCACATCGGGATGGGAAGAACAGAGCCCTGCGCGCCGCCACGTTGGTCCGGGGCAGGCTTTGCTGCCCGGCGGAAGGGGAAGGGGAGGAAAGAAACAGGCCGCCGACGACAAACGCGCGGGCGAAGGGCCGGGGCCAACGGGGTGGACGGGCAGTTGGGCGCTGCGTAATGGGGGGGGCGGCGAGTGTGGTCCGACAAGGTACCCAAACGGTACCTAAACGAGCCCCCTGGGGCTCTGGAGGGGCCCGAAAGGGGCACGAAAGGGGACCTTTTCTGGCCCCCCCAGTTGTGACCCCCCCATGAAGCCACGCCCAAGGGCAGGCGGAAACAGGGCTGGGCGAAGGCAACAGGCAGGGACTCCCTCTCTCTTCGGGACGCGCCGTATGCTCGTGTCCCCGGGCCGCCGCGACGCGAGGCCGCCCTTCCCGCCCGGCGCGGGGCGGGGCGCTTTCGCCCCCGCCGGTGAGGCTTCAGGGTGCTCTTCGGGGTCGCCACGGGGGAATTGGACCCGGCCAAGGTGTCGGGCCGGGCGAAAGGGGGGGATTGGGAAGAGGGGGGTTACGAAATTTGCTGCATGCAGCTGATTTCGGCCTCACCGAGGGGCCCATTCCTCGATACATGGCCGCCTCTGGCGCCAGGAGGCGCCGGGAAAATCAGCTACGTGAGCTGATTCTCAAACCCCCCCTTTGCTATCCCCCCCTTTCGCCCGACCCGAAGGTGGCGGACAGCCCCATGCGTCAGTCGACCGCGGAGAAGGCCGCGCGGCGGCAGTACCAATTCTGGACGGGGTGTTTTTATCCTCGGCGGGGTGATTGATGTTCCGATGGAGCTTGCCCCCTTCCCCCCCTCCCCCCTTCTTTTTCATCCTCCCCCTCCGCGGTGTCTCCTCCTCCTCCTCCTCCTCCTCCTCCTCCTCCTCTTCCTCCTCGTCCTGGTGCGTCTTCGTGGTCTCGCTTTTCTTGCAATTGCCGCTGGCTTCTTTCGCTACGTCGTGCTTCGCCTATCCGTGCATGATGGCTGGTCGTTTGGTCTCCCATTTCCTGCACGTGCTGGGCAAGTTCCGACCCAGGGCGATGCCGACAGGTTCCTTCTCGTTAGGGGGCCCGCCCTGGGCGTACCGCGTCGTCTGGTTCGTGGTGCTTGCTCTCTGGGCAGCTCGGTTGGTCTGGGCCTTGGTCTGGAACATCCTTCTTGCTCTTCTTGGGAAAGTTCTGCCCCAGGGCGATGCCGACAGGTTCCTTGTTTGGGGTCTCGCCCTGGGCGTACCAAGTGGCTGTGTACGCCGTGTTTGTTTTTCATCGGGGTGGTGTGTACTGCCATCCTCGTCGCCTTGTGGCTATGGGTGGTGTCGGTATTATTTCTCCATGGCCATGCTCCTCTTCTTCACCTGCGTAGAGTATCATACAGGGGGCCTTATCACAATCGTCGTTGGGTGACGCCTGATATCATGGACGCTATGCGTCTCTGCGTGTCTGTATGCACTGGTTGGTTCAGACGTGGGTATCCTAAGCGTTTTACTGATGCATCATAGTTTCTCCATTTTTGTGCTGGTCGCTCTGTGGGGCTCGTCATGCGTGCTATGGGTCGATGGTCTCTGGATGGGGTGCTCAAGATGGGCCTCGTCATTTATCCGCTCGTATTTGGCGTTGACGTGGGCTCTGTAGTGCTCGTGGCCTCCCTCATCATCTGCGTGGAGCTGATACTGTTCACGCCCGTCTAGAGTTGAAGTCCCGTGGGGAAAAAATCCTCCTCTTCCTCCTCCTCCTCCTCCCCCTCCCCCTCGTCCTCCTCCTCCTCCTCCTCGTCCTCCTCCTCCTCCCTCTCCTCCTCCTCCTCCTCCTCCTCTTTCTCCTCCTCCTCCGCTCTTCTTCGGGATCCCCTTTCCACCAGTTCCGACACCACGTGCCCTGTCCCAGTCAAAGTGATGTCAACTTGCGATTAACAAATGATTCAGAGGCGACGATAGGGCGAATCGCCCAGGGAAGAGCAATACATGTATCCAGGGGCGCCGCTGATTTATGTTTTCGACAAGGCTTCCGGGCGAACACGTGTAATGCCCGTCCCAGGGTTATTCGCCCTTATCGTCGCCGCCGAATGACTCCCGCCCCCCATGGCTGATGAACACATCCCGCGGGATGCGACACAATTTTTCGATCACGCGCGCCAGGGGGTCGTCGCGGGCGCCGCCGAGGGGATCGTGCACCCCCGTTCGCGGCAGCTTCAGAACGATCGCCTTTTTCGAATGGAAGTTGTTATAAGTTGTAAGGGTCGTATACATATGAGGCGAAGTTCTTTTCCTCAATGTTTCCCCCTCCCAGGCTAAGTTCTGACACGCCACAGTCGTCGTCGTAATCGTCGTCGTCGTGGTCTTCGTCGTGGTCTGTGGCCCCAGTCGTCGACTGTGGCGCGCCTACTCAGCACACCCACGCACTCACGCACGCACGCACCCACGCACGCACACACACACAACAAAACACGCAACAACACACACACACACAGACACACACACACACACACACCATGGGGCATCCGCAGTGCGTCGCCGTCGCCGTCGTCGTCGCGTTGTCATCGTCGTCTTGCCGTCGTTGCGTCGTCGTCACCGTTATCGTCGTGGTCCTCGTCGTCGTCCTCGCCTTCGTCCTCGCCTTCGTCCTCGTCTTCGTCCTCATCCTCTTCCACTTCCTCGTCGCCGTCGTCGTCGACTAGCACAGCGGGCACGCGCAGCCCACCAGCCCCCCAGCCCGCATGGAGCATCCGCAGTGCTTCGTCGCCCGCCGTCGTCGTCGTCGTCGTCGCTGTCGTAGGACCTTGTAGTGGAGGGGGGGGCGGAGACGGAAAAGGAGGAGCTCTTTCCGCCTGCTTTTGTCGCTTCCCTCTCCCTCCTTTGTCCTCTTGTTTTTTGGAGCACCGCCCGCCAGCTGAGGCGCCTCTTTCCCCCCCTTGCTCTTTGTTTTCTTTCTGTAGCAACCACTTTGGCCCAACCGCCTCACTATAGCGTTCGCTCCTGTCCCCCTCCGTTGAAGCGGCGCCGCTTGCGTCGCGCCTGTCGCCCTCCTGTCGGCTGGGCGTCGTTGCGAATCACCTGCGCCGCCGCTGTGCGCTTCCATTTGGCGGGCGCCCCACCCCGTGACCCGTCCGAGCAGGGGAACGATTTGTTCAATCGCTCGCCCCGCTTGTTCTTGTCAGTCACAAGCTAAAATTAAGCAGGGCCAGCGTCAGATACGGCCTTGCTTTCGCGTGTACGACAACACGAATTCATACAAATGCGCAAGGGCACGTCAATTATGACGGTTTGCGCGGGTCCTTGTGGATCGGCGACGAAGCACCCTTGCCCGCTGCCTTGGCAGCGCCTCCGGCGCACCGTCCGGCGCGCTCTGCAGCGCCGGGCGCCGGCCCAAGAAATCCGCGCGGGACCCCCCAAAAGTTCACGTGTATGCAATGTGCGGGTTTACTTCGATGAATCGAGAAGTACGCGTCGGAAGCAAAACGAGGGTTGTTCCGCCAGTGGAAGCATCACATGTCGAAGAGATGCCATATCAAAGGCATTGGGTTCGAAACGCCGTCGAAACAGTCATGGCAGGCATGCTCAAGCAGTGCCAGCTCGTGGTCCGGTCTTCCGCTGCCGCGTTTGCATCAGGAGGGCGCCGTGGCTTCCCAGGCGCACGAACATGCCCACGGCGCGCGGGCGGCAGGGGGTCCTGTACAAGCAGCGGATCGGGAGCTGGCGTCGGCGACGCGTAAATTACCAGCCTCGAACTTATCCCTGTCCGTAAGATCGGCACGCCAAAAGGCGGTGACAATCTTAGGGATTCGCCTTCAACAAATAGGATAATCCCTAAGGTTGGCATCGTGACGAGGAGATGCCCAGCATAGGGATAGGTATAGGTTCCAGGCTGGTAAGTAAAGCGGGGTGGGCCGAACAACGGATGGATCCGTACGAACCGGATGCGCCCCGCTCGCGGCGGGGCGCTTCTTTGGCGCATGGGGGTGCTGGCGCACCCCTGGGGACTGTTTGGGCCGGTGGCGCTGGAAACGCATGCAGAATGCAGGAAGGAACCGTGACTGCTGAAACGGTGCATCCCTGGCGGACGCGTGGGCAAAAGGGTGCGAAACAAGATACAACGGAGTGTACAAGCGCGCAAAAACATGAACCCTAAATACAGATGACCACGACGAAGAAAAGTAACGAAACATTATAATACATATCATACCAATAATACTACTACTAATAATAATAGTCCGATTAAACATCGGAACACACACATAACCATAATAATAATCAGAAGTCGGCGACGGAGGGAAGAGAGCGGAGGAACATACTGCACAGACTCTTAATCTGTCATCGCCTTTGTTGTCTCGGGCCGCCGTGGCGCCTGCGGATGGCCCACTTCTTCGGGGCACCGTCGGTGTCACAATACAAGGCGCTTTCCTTTTTTACAGACTATGGGAAATCACTGGAGTGGACGGGAAGCGGAAGATCGCAGAAACGTGTAAGGATGTGGGGTTTCTTGGAGTGTGTGTGTGTGTTGTGTGTTGTGTGTTGTGTGTTGTGTGTTGTGTGTTGTGTGTGTTGTGTGTGTTGTGTGTGTTGTGTGTGTTGTGTGTGTTGTGTGTGTTGTGTGTGTTGTGTGTGTGTGTTGTGTGTGTGTTGTGTGTGTGTTGTGTGTGTTGTGTGTGTTGTGTGTGTTGTGTGTGTTGTGTGTGTTGTGTGTGTGTGTGTGTGTGTGTGCGTGCGTGCGTGCGTGCGTGCGTGCGTGCGTGCGTGCGTGCGTGCGTGCGTGCGTGCGTGCGTGCGTGCGTGCGTGCGTGTGTGTGTGTGTGCCGATCTTTTTGTGTCTCCTTTCTGGGCACCTCCAGAAACGCTTGCAAAACGCGGTGTCCGATCTCTTGCAGCGCGACGCAGCGCGGCGTTTCCGCCATGACGCGCAGGAGCCACGAGAGGGCGGTTTGCATTGGGAAGGCAGGGTGGTTTCTCACGAGCCGCCCCAGTCTCCACGACGCCTTCCTAGGAGCCCCGACGACCCCCCAATGTTTCTGCCACGATCTATAAGCAAGCCATGCCATACTCATAATTTCTCAGAGGTCCGCGCGTATTTCTTTGATCGTCGTTGGGCCCCCCTGGCAGCGCTTCCGGCGCCGCGCCTGGCGCGGTGGGCGCGCCATGGAGAGGGGGTCAGCACCGATCCGAGAAATCGGCACGGAGTTCTGAATAGTGTATGCTCGTGTGGTTTTGTTCTCCTCCTCGTCGCAACCATCACTGGCCCACCGGGGCAGCGCACGTTGGCTCTCCCAGCGTACCCCTCCAGGTGGGGATGGGCGCTCCGCAGCCCGAAGGAGACGGTAGCCATCTCAACCTAACCTACGGCGGGGCAAATTGACCAGCGGGGCCACGAGTCCTTCGGTGGGGGTGGGGATTGCTGTCCTCGTCCCGATACTCCTCCTGTGCCAGAAGCCTCGGGCCGGGCGAAAGGGGGGGATTGGGAAAGGGGGGGTTACGAAATTTGCTGCATGCAGCTGGTTTCGGCCTCACCGAGGGGCCCATTCCTCGATACATAGCCGCCTCCGGCGCCGGGAGGCGCCGGGAAAATCAGCTACGTGAGCTGATTCTCAAACCCCCCCTTTGCTATCCCCCCCCCGCCCGACCCGAAAGCCCCCGAGCCCGTCTGGGACACCCCCCATGCCCTCTCGAGAGGCCGCCCCCCTCTCTCCCGCCCCGTCGCGTGCGCCGGCAACCCGCGGCTCACCACCCTGCTCCTCCTGCTCTGGCGACGGCGACCGGCATCTGCTCGCGGTGGATCCCTGGACCGCACCCCTCTCCCGTGCCCCCGTCTCCCCCCTCCCGTGCCGCCCACCCCCTCTACCGTGCCCCCTTTCTCCCGTGCCCCATCGCATGCGCCCGCAACCCGTGGCTCAACACGCTGCTCCTCCTGCTCTGGCGACGGCGGCCAGCATCTGCTCACAAGGGAGCGAGGCGGACAAAAACGGGGTCGTCTGCGCCGACATTGGCGCGTAGTTAAGTTGCACGCGTCAGGTCGCGCGCAAGCGCCCTCGTCTCCGATGCGGCGTGCCGCGCTGACGGCCCGCGGAAGCTGCGTCGTAAGGTCGCTACGCCATCTCGCGTAAGATCCATTATTGATCTTCGCTCAAGTGTTAAGTCGGGCCTGTCGCTCTACAGGAGGGAAGTTCGAAAATAGTCAAAACTATTATGTTTGACAAGTTGGGAGTGCTTTTTGTGCGTATTTTTATTTTTTGCCCAAAATCCCCCTGCAGGGGGTTCAGGCCCGACTTAACTCAAGTGATCCCTGGACCCGTCTCAGGGTCTCTCCTGAGCAGGTCCCTGATCCAGGATCGGTGTCTCTGAGGGTCGAAGGCCCGCAGCGGGCTTGCAGTGTCCGAACGCTGGAATGATCGGATCGTGATCATCGAACCTCGGTGGTTGAAGCTCCAATCACGATCGTCGAAGTACTGGTCGAATCTCGATCAACCATTTGTTCCCAACCATGCTGTGGTGTTGGGTCCTCGTTTTGAAGAGACGTCGCCCCGCGTTCTCCTCTCCTCTCCTCCTCCCCCTCCTCCTCCCACTCCTCCCTCCTCCTCCCTCCTCCCCTTTCTGCCTGCGTTTCATCCACCCAGTACAACGTTCCGTGGCCCCATACTAGGGAGCCCCACCTACGGTCCCAGTGCTACCGTCCGCATGCGTCCCGCACACCCAGTACAGCGTTTCGTGGCCCTCCTCCCCCTCCTACCTGCGCTTCACCCACCCAGTACAGCGTTTCGTGGCCCCATAGGGAGCCCCACCGAAGGTCCCAGTGCTACCGTCCGCATGCGTCCCGCACACCCAGTACAGCGCTTCGTGGCCCCATAGGGAGCCCCACCGAAGGTCCCAGCGCTACCGTCCGCATGCGTCCCGCACACCCAGTACAGCGTTTCGTGGCCTCATAGGGAGCTCCACCGAAGGCGCCAGTGCCCCTGTCCGCATGCGTCCCGGAAGACCAATTTGGCATTCTCACTCACCTAGTGCAGCGTTTCGTGGCCCCATAGGGGGCTCCACCCAAGGCCCCAGTGCCATCGTCCGCATGCGTCCGGGAAGTGTAATTTGGCATTTTCACACGCGCAGTGCAGCGTTTCGTGGCCCCATAGGAGGAGGCTCCACCGAAGCCCCAGTGGGACCGTCCGCATGCGTCCCGGAAACACAGTTTGGCATTTTCACTCAGTCAGTAGAGCGTTTCGTGGCCCCACATGGAGCTCCACCGAAGCCCTCAGTGGGACCGTCCGCATGCGTCCCGGAAACCCAATTCGGCACACCACCCACAAAGTACAGCGTTCCCCCCCGCCCAGTGCAGTGCTTCGTGGCCCCATAGGGAGCTTCACCGAAGCAGATATTCACAATTACGGTACCCACAACTGCATATGGTTGGGACCTTCGCCAGAATAATTTTGCCGAGCCGCCGAGTGAATCGAAGATTTTCCCACCCATCCTGTCGTGTCGGGTCCTCGTTTTGAACAAGCATCGCCACGAATCCACATTTCGCGCTGCCCCCTCGATTTCTTGTCCTTATCAGTTCGCACCCCCAGACGTGTCCGTAGAGCGGACTGGGCGTTTTGCCTAAGATTTCCTCACCATGTGCGATTCTGAAGTTTACATTTTGCATCTGGTTCGTGGATGGAGGGGGAGTGATTTCCAACATATAGTTCTCGTAAACGTTTGCAAGATTTTCACGGTGGACGACGGGCCGTTTTCAAGATGTGGTTCCCGCGTTAGTGCCGCGCGCATTAGTTTTTTTTACAGTTTGTGCAGAAGTTTGACGGATTGATGGCGGATGGTTTTCAAAATGTGGTTCGCGCTTTAGCGCCGCGCACGTTCGTTTTTCAATATTGCAAAAGTTTCACAGATGGAGGGCGGGTGTTTTTCAAAATGAGGTCTTCGTTTCAGCCTCGCGCAGAATCATTGTACAAAAGTTCTACGGATCGAGGACGTGTTCTGGTCTTAGCGCCGCGCACGTTCGTCTTCAAAGCTTGCAAGAGCTTCACTGACGGAAGGCGGGTAGTTTTCAATATGTTGGTCTCGGTTCAACATTGCGCGCATTGGCTATAATAGGTTGTAGAAGTTTCAAAGGAGGTGGGTCGTTTTCAAAATGTGGTTATCGCTACACCAGCTTGCACATTCGTCTTCAAAGTTGGCAAAAGTTGCACAGATGGATAGCCGTTGGTTTTCAAAATGCGTTTCTAGCCTAACCGCCGCGCACGTTTGTCTTGAGAGTCTTCTTTTTTTCACGGGAGGATGGCGGACCGTTTCCAATGGTGTTTGTTTCAGCGCCGCGCGCATTCGTTTTAACAGTTCGCGAGAGCTTCACGATGGGGTGCGGATCATTTTCAGAATGTAGTTATCGCCCCAGCGCCGCGACTTTGCGCCTCACAGTTTGCAAGGGTTTCACGGATGGAGGGCGGGTATTTTGCAACATGTGATTCTCGCTTTAGCGCCGCGCATATTCGTTTTAGGATTGATTCATCGTTTCGTGGGTTCTTATGGTTCTGGAAATGGTGTTTGGTTCGAGTTAGGATTGCACGGGCGCAAGAGTCATGTCGATTCGCAGTGCTGAAATCCCAGGAGCGGTTATTTGGCACGATGCAACAGTAAAGTTCATTCGCCGCGTTAATGTCAAAGAAGGAGCTTGTTGGGATGATTGAGGATTCTCAGACGGTTGTCTTCCAACGGGGCACTTCCAGCAGTGAGCATCAATTCTTGTAGGGACTATGAAGAGAAAAATTGGACGGAGGGTGTATTGCAACATCGTTGATGAGTTTTGGGTTTACACAGATCTTCATTCTCGTCCTCCTCATTATCCTCCTGCCTCCCCTTCGCTCTTCCGCACACACTTCAGACGTTTCGTGGCCCCATGGCGGGAGCAGTAGTGGTGATTGCCACTACTATTACCATCACTTGCTGGTGTGATATCCCACTGGGTTCCATAATTCCGTCCGCCCGTACGACACCCCACCCTGGAAAGCCTTCCAAATACTTTTGTCTCTCCAAGCCTTCCAAGATGGTCTGCAAAGGATTCCGATTCCTTGATGCAGAAGTGGTTGCCCCAAGATTGCGTAAGATAGTGCACAAGTGTTCCCGAGAAGCGAATGTTATTTTCCCCCCCCCCCCCTCATCTGCCCCCCTGTATGCCACTCTGCATCCATCTTCTGACTCCGTGTCTGCCCTCCGTCTTCTGACTCTAACGCTCTTTTCCAACCTTTGTCTCCTCTGGCCCACAGATTGTATGATCCTGGGCCTCGTTTGCACTTGGGTGCACAACAGGTCCGCGACATTTTCACGCGGGATCCCGTCGACGTGGTGATGGAGGAGCGGTCCCGGAAGGCCGCAGAGCGGGCAGGCTGAGTGTGTTTCGAGAAGTTCCGCGGCTTGCCGAAAAGAGCGCCCAGCGCGCTAGAGTCAGCCTTGCCAGCGATCGTTGTCTACCCCATACCTGCAGCGTCGTGAAAATAACGGAACGAGAGAAATGAGCAAGCATTCGCGTCAGAGGTCCGCGCGAATGTCTTGGGTCGGCGATGGACAACTAGCGGAGCCAGCGGCGCCGCCCCTAGCGCGCTTCGCGCGCCAGGGAAGCGGGACATCCGCGCGGACGTCCAATCGTAATGTCTCGTGTGGTTGTTTTCGGACGGGGTTAGGACGAGGATAAATCCGTTCCAGAGCGTTGAGAAGGCGGCGGCGCCCGAGACATACCCCAGAGTTGCGGGGTCTCAGAGATGTTTTTTTTATCCTCGCCCGACGCTATCCTCGTCTGGCCTCTTCTTGACTCGGGGGCAACGCTAGGGGGGGGAGGCTCATGGGGGGATGCATCGATCCCCAATCGCCGATTGGGGACCGATAGCGCAGCCCTCCCCTCGATTCCGCTATCGGGTGCCTATCGCCGATTCATCGTCGATGTATCTGCGATTCCAGGGCGATGTTTACCCCCCATCGTTCTGGGCCGCCCAGATGGGTCCGAGGATCTCGCCGAATCGCCGACGCATCGACGATGCATCGGCAATGCGGTTCGATGCGGAGCCCGACTTTTTGCACGACGGCGTCGCCGATGCATCGTCGACGCGTTTCGGATTCCGACCCGGTCTACCCGGAACCCATCTTGGAGGCCTCTAGTTTTTGCCCCTTACCCACGTCGTGGAGTAATCATTGTAATCACGATGTCGTAGGGTTGGGTTGGCAGCGATCTTTCGCTATCATTTCTCACGCATGCCATGCGGCCTTGCCACTGTTTGGCCTCGTTCACGCTGCGTCTCTCGCATGTGGGCACATGTCCATCGTGCACTGTCTGCCCTCTCGTCCTCTTTTCTCAACGCGGGGGGTGTGGGTAGCTAGGGGGTCCCGCGCCGAGCCGAGAAACCCAGACGCACCGCCGAAGGTTCTCTGCTCGTCGCATTTGCTCGTCAGTTTCGGCCACGCTCACCTGTGGCAGCACCCGGCAGTCGCGTGCCCCTCTGATCGGACGAAGGGGAAGCGACACCACCACCAGCGGGCCACTTCCCGCGAGCGGGCCAGCGAAGCCTCCCCGAGCCGGAGGCTGGAGCTGCCTCGGGCGGGACGCCACAGGACCGGGGGACAGCTTCACCAGGGGGAACTTCCTTTGCTCCTCGCGATGGTTGTGGTGGTGGTCCCAGATACTCGACGTGTTGCTTCCATTAAACAAATAACATGCATATATATATATATAAACTCATAATTATATAAAAACGTGGATCCCTTCAGGTTTGGACCCTTCCTCAGGGACTGGCATTTCGTTTCAAGTCGTCTCCTGAGGGCCGGGTGGCCAGGTGGAAGGGCCCACAGCAGAGGCCGAAAAAGCTGGAACAATTTTGTTGTGGTGATTTGTTGACGTCGCGAGAGGGTTTGGGTTCGGAGGTAAAGCATCGACCCCAGGGCCTCTGTCCTGGGGTACAGTCGTGGCGCTGAAGAAGGAACCCTTCTCGTTTGGGAGGGGCTCAGTGCTTCTTAGTTGTTTTTTAGATTGCCTTAGGTTTTCCGTCGGTTTTCGATGAAGAATCGAAACTTGATTTTGGAGCAAAGCGGCCTCGTTCCTTATTTAGGGTTCCTTGGGTCAACGCCCCGACTGTAAGTTGAGACCATAATTCCAAGGCGAATCCAGCTGCTGCGACGAGAAGCCTCCTGGAGGCCAACAAGGGCAGCGCACGCCCAAAACATGGCGGTGGTGGTGATGGTGCCGTTTTCTCCTTGGTGCCCAGTGGCAACTCATGGGAGCCTTGTATTCGGGGGCGGAAAAGAGGGGGGTGATGACTAGGGGGGGGGGGATTTCATGGCGCGGGCCATGATATTTCCCCAGATTTCATGGCGCCTCTTCTTATTCTATTACGTCCCAGGCCCCCCCGCTGGGCCGCGCACATGCCGCCGGTCATGATTTGCACCCCCCCCTCTTGGACACCCCCCTCTTGGCCGCTCCCGATTGTATGTCCGTGAGACTGCATTAGCATGTGCTAGTCGGCGTCTGGTAATGGCTGGTGAGGCGCCGATTTCACGTCGAGCAGCCTCGATTTAGCGTCGGCTGGGCTGGTTAGCGCCGATTGGCGTCGAGTCGCAAGAGCCGGCAAGATGGCATGTGGGGGCTCCCATGAGTTGCCATAGAACTTGGTGGCGGTGCTGCTTTCCTGAACTCCTACCTGAGCGCCCCCGCGCGCAGGCGCCAGCGGCGGCCGCCGTCGCCGCCCAGGCGGCCCCCGTGCCGGCGCTCGCAGGGCGACGATCGCAATTGCGACATCGGGGGACGACGAGGATGTCCACGACGACCACGACGACGACGACCATGAGCACGACCACGACCACGACGGCGACGGCGACAACGACGACTCCGACGACGACCGGACGATGAAAGACGACAACGGACACCTCGACATCGGCGACAACGACGGCGAACACTGCTTCGACGGCGACGGACAACGCGGTGGCGGCAACGACGACGACGACTTTGGTTTCGGAGACTTTCTGCGCGTCTGAGGGTTCTCGTCGCCTTGAGACATTGGCCAGGACGGACCTCGGGAGGGACCTGGGGACCTAATTTGAGGTGATCCTTGATCATGGGTCGACGATGACGTCGACGACCTACGACGACGACGACGACGACGATGACGAACGACGACCAACGATGACGATGACGACGGCGACGGCGACGGCGGACGACGAGGTCGCCGAGGCATGTGACAAAACGCGCTGGAAGTTGTCCCTCAGTTTGGGCGTTGGGGGGGGGCCCTGTGCGGGCCCCAGGGGTCGTCAACGATAGACCAGACCCGTTGTCGAATCCAAAATAATGGACAGCAAAGGCCCCGTCGCAGCGAGAACCCAGACGCACGCAAGGAAAAGCTATGAAAAAACTGAGATCACGCCATGTTCACGTAACTTGGGCATCCGTTTGGGACGACGCTTATTTATCCGAAGCGTTTCTCGCAACGGTGACGAAGATGAAGCCAATGTCAACGAAATGCGACGCATGGGTGCAAGGATGGATAACCAGTGAAACTACGAGGCAAGGGGGAAAATACAAGGGAGAACAAAGGACGCGGGGGCGTGGTGCCAATTTTCACCGTAGTGGTAGAGACGTCATCGGGGCACCAAACAAAGCGGGCCATCGCGCGCGGCCAACCCCATGGCGGCAAGATCTCACACAGTTGGTCCGTGCATGACGCCACCCCGCTGGACCCCCACAGGCTCAGGAAAGTGACGGCAATTGTGTTCCGGGCAAACGTAGAAGGCGAGCCACCTCGGATCTACGCCTTGGGTTTGCGAATTCTAGGGAGACAGGAAACTGGCGACATGTGAATGTATTGCAGCACCCAGGGGGGGCCGAGGGTGATGGTTGGACTTGTTCAAGACGCCGCCCAGCTGGAAGTCCTGGAGCACATTGATCGTTTCGCTTCTCACAGGGAAAGCAGCTGCAATACAGTCGACAATGATGGTAAGGATGGATCATTCCAACAGCACCCTTGCATGATTGCCTTCTCGGTCCATTCTTACCCACTCGCGAAGGACAAACCCCGTTCGAAGAGTTTCGACAGAGTCTCCCAAAGGGCTTGCATCCTTATCGCGCATCAGTCCTAACAGTTTTGAGTATAATTCCACCGGCGTAGAGACCCACCCTGTAGAGGAGCACGGAGGCGACGACACGCTCCGCGCACGCAGCATTACAGGGAGGGCGCGGGCAATCGCTGGATCCAGGCCACTACCTTTGCCATTCCGCCAGACCCATCACACGGAAAGTAGTTTTGTTTTCCCCTCGTCTCCCCCAACGTTCGTTTCCACCCCTTCACCCCTCTTCTGTCCCATGTCTCTCTCTCTCTCTCTCTTGCTCTCCTTTTTCGACATCGTCCTGCTCGTGATCCGCTCGGCTGTCCCTTTTCCTTGCCGTGCTCCTGCCCCCTCCTCCCTCCGAGGTCTCCTTCCTCGAAGCTCCCCCCAAAATGCGTCCGAGGTGCCCTCCATGACGCTGTTCGCCTCCTCCCCCTGAGGATCCCCCCCCGCCGCCTGGAGACAAGAAGGTCCCCACCAAGTTCAGTTTCAGTGTTGTAACCTTTGATCGGCGTCACCCCAACATACTTATACTCTAAGCGCGTCGCCCCCCAGGGGCGACGCGCGCACCGAGAAATGTTATAGTATATGCGTCGTGGCGGGCGCTTTCTGGCCACACCGCTCGGGAAGCGATATACTACAAGATGGGCATACTACACGTTCGGGCCGGACGCGCGCGCATCCCAAGGAGGGCATATAGTATCCGTACGTCTCTGTGCGTCCCAATTCAGTGCTGTAACCTTTGAGTCGTCCCCCGCTGGGACGTCCCAGCCTGCCCTGACCCTCCGAGGCGCCTCCTCCTTCTCCTCCTCCTCCTCCTCCTCCTCCTCCTCATCCTCCTCCTCGTCCTCCTCGTCCTCCTCCCCGTCCTCCTTCGCCTCCTGCTCCTCCTCCTCCTCCTGGGACGCCCCAGCCTGCCCTCACCCTCCGAGGGCGCCTCCCTCTCGCCCTCCCCCCCCCCCCCGCGCCTCCCCCCAAAAGGCTCCGGCGGCCGCCCCCGCGTCCGCCGCCGCGCCGGCCGCCGCGGTGGGCGCCCCCCGATCTCTCGAGCAGGGGATGCGTACTCCAGATCTCGTACTAAAAGGGAGGGGGTCTGGACCCTCCAAGACGAGCCATTTCAGACCTCCCCTCGTGGGAGAGCCCTCCCAAACGTCGTCCCCAGCCCCCCCCCAGGCCCTCCAAGAGAGCCCGGAAGAGACCCCCCCCGAAATGAGACCCCCCTCCCTTTATTACGAAATCTGGAGTAGCGACTGCTTTGAAGTCGGGCCTGTCCCTCGACAGGGGGCTCGGCATCGCTCGGACGTGTGCATGTTTCCTTCGGCGAGGACCCTCGAGGAGCATCCTTGATCATTTCGCGAAACAAAAACACGCGCGAAACCGAAAAAAGCACAGGAAATGGACGTCCGAGCGATGGCCAGGGGGGGAAT